AAAAAAAAAAAAAAAGGGAGAAGAAAACTCAGGCTGTTCTGCAGGACAACTGAGAATTTACTTCCAACACATAACAACTTTATAGAGACAATTAATAGCAAACGCTGAGCAGAGTTCAAAAGTAAAATTTAGCAATCTTTTTAAACACACTGATGTTGGTGAAGTTGTACGTTTGCCACCAGTGACAGAAAGCTTACCTGCTTGGCTGTTTTCAGACTGAGCTATAAGTGCTGCCATGGCTGAATTTGGATTGAGCCTACTGCCGTACATGTGGGATGGAGGCAGACTGAGAGAAGATTCAGGTAGCGTGTTTGCCTGCAAGAAACCAAATAAAACTTGAACTCTGTTTTTAAAAAGGGGAGAAATGCTAAAGGCATTTTAAGAAAGCCTTCCTAACACACAATTGTTCATTTTTTTAAGTTAATTTTTTTTTTAAAAACTGAATGTACTTAAAAGACAAAAAATATTCTTTTCCATTTTGTGAGTACAGAAATAGAATTGCAGTACTTGGAAAATGTATCAGGTTGTAAAGTGTGTTTTACTTGTTGTTGGCAAGATCTGTTAATAAAAAAATCCTCTAATTAAAAAAAATACTGTAGCAAATATTAAAAATACCTAAATTGCAATTAAAATCTATCAGAGCATAGCAGGATGGGTGGACTTCCTTGCAGTCCTGAAGTATGCACTCCATGCTAGGACTTAGAAGCACGGCGACCATGTGGTTATCCTACTAATTATTTAATCTTATTAAACCATTTACAAAATAAGGGCAGGTAGACAACAGATGTCTCACAAATGCTTGAGTTCCTTACATCACAAGCCGACTGTGGAGGTCAAAAGGTCCAACTTTCAGCTCTATAGTTTAACTACACAGAGCCATATTTCCTCTGCTCCACTCCGTCATTAGTAAAACCTGCACACTATTTTGTTACTTCCTATTTTGATGGACTTGGAAGCCTGGTGTTTTTTTGTTTTGGTTTGGTTTTATTTTAAAGAATGCAAACAGCCATTACAAGTATGTTTTCTATACAATAGGGGGCTCGCGGAATCACAGCTTTGCCCTGACCCCATATAAGGAACTGTATTTTTGGCAGTTGGCCAGCTCTACTTATTGAAGAGCTCCCAAAGTTTGTGTTCATTCATGTTGCTAACCACAATTCTGAAGGTCTCTGCTGGGACTTGTGCCAAACAAGCGAAAATGAACCCTTAAACAGATGAAGCTAAGGAGGCTGGCCAAAATCTTGCATAATCCTACGCAATAAAAATACCTTCTTCCTTGGCTGCTTATGCTTTTTCCCTTTCGAAGAAAAGATTTGTGTCAAATGCTGAGTTGCTGAGACAGGCGGGCAAAGAAAAGAAGGCATGGCTACTTATTAAGAAGGCATTTTCCTACCTGATAAAAAAAATTGTTTCAGAATGAAAACACTAGGGGGGAGGGGAAGATGATCAAAGATATGCAACCTGTGTGATCACTGGTTTTAAAACAAATCTTTTAAGAAAATGTAAACAACCTTTACAAACAAAACTTTTTTAAAAAATTAAAAAAAAAGAAGGTGAACAGTAAGGAACTCAATTTGTGGGACATTTTGACATGTATAACTGCACACAAGAGACAGGGGAAACATACTGGTTATTAGAGCAAAATATTACAGAGTATAAACTATGTCTCTGGAAAGAATCACACACTACCATTAAGTTTTGGCTTTCAGCCAACATATTAAACTTGATGAATGGACTTTTATGAATTCACACAACTGTTTTCAATGATGCTTTTATTTACTATATACTGGTGAGAAATTGTGCCTGATACTTACGTTCTTCTACTACCACAAAGTCAGAAAAAGCCACAATTATTTACTTACAATAATCACGGTTATTTTTCCACTTTTCAGTTTAAAGGTATGTGCAACATTGCTACAGCTGGAACCAGAGTTTCACTTCAAATCTGGCTAGGTTTTTGGTTTTTTTTCTTTTGGTTGGCTGGTTGCTTTTTTTACAGAATTGCATTCCTTCAGTAGAATTAATCTGAATTAATTTTAAGTCTTAAATAATGCAGGCATTTTCACCCACCGAGTACAGGAGCTTCCAGAAACACAGTAGTTAGTTAGTACTCTGACACTTTCTGATGAAGGCAGCAATGCTGCAGAGCTCCTGCTATTTTCCTTAATGCCTGCAAGTGTGATTCCAACTCAACTATTAACCTTCACTAGCAACCTTCTGCTGCTTTCCTATCAAAACCAAAAACTTTTAAAAACTCCAGGTTTTTCTCAAATCCTTTCACTGAAAAAATATTACAGAATGGAATACTGTAAGATATTGAAGTAAATAGTGGTTGAATCTAAGAGACAGGACTAGCAATATAAAAATCTACATGCATTTTATTTAAATAAATTGGCTGAGGTTATGAATTCTACTAAAATAGTCTGTGCTTTTTTTTTAAACTACAAACACCAGGTCTTCTTTCTGTTTAGTTTTAAAATATTTCTATAATAAATGTCTCTTAATTCTACTAAGTTCTACACAGAAGCTGCTGTGCAATTCACTGCAAGGCTGCTTAAAACTGTGTAATAGCAACTCTTTTATTAGTTTATGATGGCAAGGCAGCTATAATCACCAAGGAGAATACCTGTTATTTCACTGAAACATGCCCAAATAGCTTTAAGAACTTTATGAAAGTATCTAAGTATCTTGAAAGGAGTCACTAAAGTCTGTTGGGTAACCATCACATCACAAAAGACATCAAAGGAATTAAACAATGTTTGCTAAGTGGGTTGATATAACAGATCAAAAGACTTAGCATGATTTAAACAGTATCTAAGAAGTTGAGTTTTTTCACAACTGGTGGTTCACCCTAAACTTAACCCCTGCTTATACTTTAAAATAATAGTAAAGGTGTCCTTCAACAAGTTGGAACTACAGAAGTTCTAGTGCCATCATGTATCCTACACAACTCTCAAAGGAAAAAGTCATATTAATAAAATTCTTCACAAGTAAGCTGGAGACAAAAAACTCTTTTAACATACTTCTTTTAAATGGCAACGTCAAACGACAAGAATAACGATTTGCAAAGCTTTATTATGTATGTGACGACTTCATCTGACAGGGAAGTAGAGGAGGTGGAGGAGTGCTACATTATTTAAAGGTGAAATAGGAGCTTCATGTTTCACTCACAGTCGAAACAAGCTGTAGCAAGCATTTACTAAAAATGCGCAATCATCCTGTCAATACATATTAAGGTCACAGGACTGAAACATGTTCTAAAATGTGGAACTTTTAGAGCTGTAGAATTCTTTATTTCAGCTGATTCTATTTAAACAGTCAACACAATACACGATCAAAATGTATGAACTAATAAAGAGACTGCTAAGTATTTATTTTGAAAAGGCAGCAAATTTTCCTGAGAAGACTTTAGCAGAAGGATTTACGCCCATCTAGAGGTATATAACACACTGCTTTCATTTATGGCATGTTCAATAAATCAGTAAAGCAATAAGCAGCAGAGCAGCACAGAGGGAAGATACACCGTAATTCACAGAATGCCCGAGTGCAATAAGAACAAATGATTGATATTTGATTGATGCTTAAAAACACTCCCTTTACAGCAAGAAAGAAACTGCAACTATATTCCTCTAATTAAAGAACGAGACTTGCAAGTTAACTAAATGGAACTCGTGTATATAAATATGCCCTGAAATATTTAGAAACAGTTTTGCATCACTCCAAAATGGCATTCTACTGTTAACAGTCTGACAATAAAGTTTCCCAAGTTGACAATTATTTGCATTCGTAACTGGACGTTTACTTAAATTTCCAGGGAAAAGTTTCTTCATTTCAGAAGTTACATGTTCTTTAAGAAAGAAAAAAGGGGGAAAAAAAACCCACAACAAAAGGGAGAAAAATGAGACCATACTTAGCAGTAACAGTTAGATTAGGTCTCAAAAATTTGAGAACCTTTGAGCATGCCTATTCCCCTGTTCCCTTCAAGTTTTATGCTATGAAATATTTTCTGATAACAGGCCTCATTTCGGCCTCAGCTCCACACCAGTAAGGTTTTAATACTCGGCGTGTGATGAGAGATGAAACCAAGTGTGAACAACTTTCAGGTCCCGTGAGTAGGCTGACTGTTGAAGCTGTCAGGTTCAATTGCATCATTCCCCATTATTCAATGCCCCAAACTGCTCCCTAATTGTTCAGGGCTTAACATATTCAAAACCATTGTTTCCACTAATGCTGAAATGCCTACAGTTGAGCTTCCATAAAGAAAGGGGAGGGATTTAATTGTAGTTAAACCATTACTGAACTCTCTTCATTTCATGATAGGACAAGGATGGCCGGAACAACCAATTCCAAGACAGGTTCTTAATCAGTTTATATCCAATCAACGTCCCTTTTCCCCTCTGCTTTACAAATAGCCATTGCTATATGGTAGCTTTGCATTATATTATGATTCTGTTTCACAATTAGGGACAGATCACCTAATTACCTACTTAAGCCAATATCTATTTGTCAACATTAATTTCAAAGGTTATTTTTATTTCTTGTTTAAAACAAAAATGTATCGTTCCTCCTGCACTGGCTCCCTTTAAGTACCAGATTAATGTGGTTGGGGTCATCCTGTTTACCAATCATATTAGGTTCTTCATCACAGCACAACGTTGTGATGGAAAGCACAAAACTATTCCTTCTTCCTACTAACATCAAGTAAAGAAATAAAGAGCGCTAGATACCAACAACAACTACTTCTGGCTAACTACTACCGAAACCAAAAACAGCATTAAAAAAAAATTATACAGATGAAGTTTAAACCTACACTTCTGAGAAGCTGTTACTGATGCTTTCCATGTAATCGTCTAGCTTCATGAAACAGGGATTGAAGCACTAGACCAAGTACTAACATCAGTTTACTTCATCTACAAGTCATTTTACACTGATGTGCTCTGCTCAGTAGCAAGCAACACTTATCTGAACAATGTATTATTGAAAATAACATCAAAATTGAAGCCTACATTGCAATTAAATGAGCTTAGACACTCAAACATATTAATGCTATGTACATAATGATAATCAAATATTGATAATACACAGATACATATACACACATATATATACTTATACGTGTGTGTGTATACATATACAAATTCATTGATTTTCCCGACAGGTAAAAAGAGCTGCCTATTAAGTGATGGCAGCAAAAACAACCTGGCCTTATGTTTCCTAACTTAACTTGGACAAGCGGAGAAAAGTGATTTTCGTCTCCAGAATTTTTAAGGCCAGCGAAGCTCTGGCGAGCATCTAACAGTTGGCTTTTCTCAGGT